GCCCCGCGAGCCCGATGCCGCCGGCGAAGACGGGATTGTTAAAGAGAACATCGAAATTGAAGATTGATTGGGGCGTGATTGGGGTCGGAAGATCAGTAGACATGGTCGTTTACTCCATCGCGTCGTGGATCGAGGTGGTTATGGCTGACAGTGACGCGGGACAATCCATTGAGAACCCTGGCGGACTGAAAAATTCAAGTGGGGCGATGTTCATCGGGAATTTGGCCGGCAGAGAGGGGTTAGGGTTATCAGTATTGTCCGGCTATCCTTTTGCACGGCTTTAGCACCTTAGTCCACGCCGGTGGTTCTCTGAGCCTTTCTGAAACTAGGTATTGACAGTGTCAGCGTGGTTGGTGTAAGGCGCTTAGTGTTCAGTATTTGGTATGCATTCAGCAATCAACATCATGGGGTTGGATATCTCCTTGCGTGCCGCCATCAAGTCGCCGAGAAGGTGAGGATATGATACATGATATGTACTATACATAACCAACAGCTCCGTGCTGATATATCTCCAGCTTGCCCCCGCCTGTCCGTCACAGAAAAACAAAGCGGTTCCCAACCCCAACAACACCCTCTAGCCAAGTCTTCTGGGCTTCGGACTCCTGGTTCCACCGAACTTGAGGCGTGTCGCATCAGACACCCGCACGATCTTGCTTCGCAGCATCTTGCCCTCATTTCCCAGCAAAACCTTGACGACAGCCTCTCTCCCAGCGCCAAAACCCCGGAGGGTAACCTCCAGTTTGTGGATATCCTTGACAATGCCCTTCTGATGGAGCTTGTCCACAACGTACGCGCCTAGCTGGTACGCCGAGTCGTAATGTTTCCGGTTCGACTTCTTAAACCCCAGGTTGCCGCATGAGAGCGAGATAATGGCATCCCGGTTTGGCTTTGTGACGGTAACGTGCGTGTTATGCCTGTGGGCGTAGATGTGGAAGTGGTACGGCTCGTCGCCTTGTTCCGGCTCTATCTGGAGCTCATCGGCCATGTTGATGTTGACGAGGGCTACTGGTGAGCCTTCGCCCTTCATGCTCCGAGCAAGAGTTTCCATCACGGTGAAGGCGTTGTCCTTGGTCTTTGGCGGTAGAGCCACCCTCGGCTGGGGGGTCTGTGAGAAGGCGCGAGTCCATAGTGGTGTGCTGGGAGCCGGCCTCGAGAGGGACTGGAAGAGGTTCTGCGCCAACAGGCGGCTTGTCGAAAGCCGGCTCATCGCGGGGGCGCAATTGGCCTCGGCTGGGTTGCAGCCGTGAGAAGTCGACTTGGGGTTTGTCGCTGGGGTCCGGGGCGAAGTCGCGCGAGTTAAAGTTACGCCAGTGCTGAAATTGGAACTGTCCAGGCCAGCGTCAGGCCCAAGAAATTTTGGGTCGGTAACGCGGCCGTTGACACACCGAGGCCGGCAATTTGCCGGGGCGCCCGCGCCAAGCCGAGTGGAGCTTGAGGTGGTAGGGGCAAAAAAAATTACGGGACCGCTCGCGACACCCGCATGGCAGAATTCGCATCACCTGCGCCAAAACCCAGAACAACCAACCAAGTCTAAACCCACACCACTCTGCTGGTCGCCTACAACTCGCTTCCCGCTCTGTCTCGCCGGCTGAAGGCGCCCCAGCTTGTTATAATCAAACATGAACTCGATCCGACACATTCAAAGGGTACCGGGCGCCCCGTTGCGGGACTCAGTACTTTGCAATGTCTCTTCCGTCACAAGATCAACAGCGCATCCCCGACTCTTGTCCAGCCGGGCGACTCGTCTCAGCACCGTCAATGCTCAGCCAGCCCCCGCATTTATGCCCCTACGATCCCCATTCCTCCCCAACACGATAACCCTCGAAAGGCTATCGAGACCGAGCGCCCGCTCTTTCCACATCTCATCCGATGCTCGGCAGAAACAACCAGAAGAGAAGGATTCCAAGACAGCAGCAGAGGCTTCCGAAGGCCAACAAGCCCAGGAGGCTGCTTCCGAAGAAAGTGCTGACACCAAAGGCGAAGGCAAGGGAGAGGAAGGAAAAGAGGGCGAGGAAAAGTCTGAGAACAAGGAGAAGAAGGCAGACGCCCCCCCTCCTCCCCCTCACGGAGACAAGACGCCCTGGCAGGTGTTCAGGGAGACAATGCAGACCGAGTTGAACCAGTCCAAGGAGTGGAATGAGTCGACAAAGGCATTGGCTTCCTCGGCGCATGAGCTTGCCGAAAGCGAGGCTGTCCGGAAGGCGCGGCTGGCATACGAAGCCACTTCGGGCGTTGTCTCCAACACAGCCGCGACTGTGGTCAAGTCAACCGCTGGTGCCATTGGCAAGGGTGCTGTCTGGACCTGGGAAACACCTGTGATGAAGGGGGTCCGGAAAGGGGCCAATAAGACGGGAGAGGTCCTGGACAAGGCAACGAAGCCCATCCGCGAAACCGAGGCCTACCAGAACGTCAAGAATGTGGTTGACGATGGGAGCAGCTCAAGATACGGCGGGTGGGTAGAGAAAGAGGAGCGGAAAAGACGTCGGGAGCAGGTGGAGAAGCAAAATGGCGTACACGCGCAAGGTGTTCCCCAGGAAGATCCCGAGTAAGGCCTATCACAACACCTTCACGGCCATCAGCTAACTCATTTTCTTAGGGCTGGAACCAATGTTACACTTCACAAGGATGCCGCCTGGAAGGAGGCCTGGAGGGATTTCAGAGACTCCAACAAGGTAGTCCAGGGCATCTTTGGCATGAAGAACGTCTATCAGGAATCCGAAAACCCTCTAATCTCCACCGCTCGAAGCATTACCGACCGCGTCGCTGGCTTTTTTGCCGAGAACGAGACGGCTCAGGTCATCAAGAAGCTCCGTACGATGGATCCCAACTTCCAGGTGGAGCCTTTCCTGCAGGAGCTGCGCGAATATATCCTGCCTGAGGTTCTAGAAGCCTATGTAAAGGCTGATGTCGAGACTCTTAAGCTCTGGCTGTCGGAGGCTCAATACTCGGTTTACGAAGCCTTGACCAAGCAGTATCTGCAAGCCGGACTCAAGTCTGATGGCCGCATTCTTGATATCAGGGGCGTCGACATTCTCAAGGCTCGCATGCTCGAGCCTGGTGAGATCCCGGTTTTCATCATCACTTGCCGAACACAAGAGGTCCATGTGTACCGGAACGCCAAATCGGGCCAGCTGGCCGCCGGCATGGAGGACAAGGTTCAGCTTGTGACCTACGCGATCGGTATCACCCGGATTGCCGAGGATGTCAACAACCCGGAGACAAGAGGATGGAGGTTGATCGAGATGCAGAAGAGCGGTCGCGATTATTATTGATCGAGAGACACAACTACTTACTGTCTTACCACCCGGCATAAACTGCCTGTTCAAATTTATTGTATTCGACCATGGGGGAGAAAATGTATCATACCGCACTTGGGATCTGTTCCAGACAACTGGGAGTTTGGGTTCTTGATGTATAGAGAGGCTTGGGGAGCAGGCGCCTTGAGCATTTTCGCCATACCACACCACTCTGGTTTTCGGGCGCACGGGGACGAATGTGTCTCGTGGTGGGAGCGCTTGTATTGTACACTAAAATCCGTGAGGGGGATGGGAGCCCTTGGCCAAAAAGCGACCACGAGACAAGCGTGGTAGCAACAGCAACAAATATATTGACCATATAATATTCACCACTTACTAGCTTGCCTTGCGGTTAGTTGGTAGCTTTACAATCTCGGCCCAGGTTTGCATGAGAAGACCAATTCAAGCAACATCAAGTTCCAATCTCCTCACCTTGCTTCTCGCCTTGCTCATCCTCTCTCTTAAAGTCGTCCCGCACTCGCATGAGTGCCTTGCCCAGCAGATTCAGCCCCCACCTCCCCCGACTCCTATCCGCCTCAGCAGTACCAAATCCGATCCCCCAGATCTTATCCATGGGGGACGCCTCAACGATCTCACGGTCTCCCGTGCTCAGGAGCAGCTGCCGCAGAGTCAGGGGTGTCACGAGCGGTGCTTCCGCCGTCGACCCCAGACGGAGCCCCTCCTCGCTGACAGCACGTGTGAACTTGAGGAGCGTCCCCTTGCGCACGATGTCCTCGCGTTGGCCGTTCCAGATGCGGTAGTCAAAACCCTTGACCTTGCGGCCGAGAGCCTTTACCTGGCGGGGATGACTGGCGGCGAGGATCTGGGCGCCAACGGCGGGGTCGGAGAAGAGGACGGCTTTTTGGTACATCATGTAACTGGACGGTGTTAGTATGGTGGGGAGAGATGAATGGGGGCGGGAAAGCTCCCTACTGCTCGGCTGTTTCGTAGTGAATGCCCTCCTCGTCCGTAAAGGCACACGGATACCACTGCGAGAGCCAGCCGGTTTTGGTTTCGGTTTCGCGCCAGAAGTAAACAGGAGAGTTGGGAGAGGCGGTTGGCGTTGTTATTTCGGCGCCCGACGGCGCATCCTCCAGCCTGGCCGTGCTGACTGCCTTTTCGTTTTGTTTCTTCTTTTTCGCCAGTGTTGTCGCTCCCTTGTTACTTCTTGTTGTGGCTGGCATTCTGTCTGATTCTTGTGCCGACTCTCCTTGGTAAATGCGAAAACTAAAGTTCATGTTTGGGGCGGCAGGGAAGCCTATCACGGGCTGCTCTTATGCAACTCACCCACGGTGTCGGTCGCGGCCGCTCCGGTGAACGACATCGGTTGTCCCTGCCGGTGAGTCACGGCCGCAACTCAATGATTGATCAGGAGAAGCCTCATGAGGCTTTCGGCCAAGACTGCACCAACCGCACTGTCAAGCCCTCATCTAGCTTTAGCTCAGAAACGAGGCTGCGGGTTGGAACCAATAGATGCACCCTGTGCAGACCTTGTGTGACTGGTTGCCCGTGGTGAAGAATAGCCCATGCACCAGTCGCACTTAATAGGTCGAATCTGAATCAAAATTCTAGCACAACGATGAAGAGAGGCAGTTGCTATGGATGATATATTCCAACAGAATGTGCAACCTTAAAGATGATGTTATGGTCTCGGTAATCACCCGGTATGCCGGGTAATTACACAGTAGCTACACAGGAATCTCTGGGGGTATGGTCTAGTGGTATGACTTCTGTTTTGCAATACCCTATGGGTCTCTCACATACAGACGGTCCCCCGTTCGATCCGCGGTGCTTCCACATTCAATTCTTCCATTTTTGCTGGCCTCCACAACTTGCCTGTGGAGTGCTTTGGCGCACTGAGTAAATGTCGAAGCCCCTTTGCAAGATGACCCACTGGCCCCTTTCAGCGAAGCTCTTAGGCCTCCGATAAGCCCAAACACTTCTCAACTCATCTCACCTGCTCTGTCACTTACCCCCAATCGTGTAATTCCTTCACGCCATCCCCCACGCCATCATAATACAACCCGAATCTACGCCCAACTTCGACTGGATATCCCTGCATTGGTCATCACAGCACTCCTGGGCACATGGTCATATGATCCCAACGTCTTAACCACGTGCAGCAGGGTCTTGGCGGATGAGTGAAGTTGATTATCTATACCCAATGCCAGCCTCTTTCGGCAACATTGTCAAACTCGCGGTTGATGCGCTTCGAAACAGTCGAGTCTGTTGATGGCCCTCCTCCCAATCAAAACATAACATGCTCTTTTCCACGACGGCACGGCTGGCTAACCGTGAACCGGTTTCAAAACTTGATCGCACGGGAAGCCATCCTGCATCGGAGGAATCGAGCCCAGTCAGCAGTCGGGCTGCCTTGCAGTATCAGATGTTGAAGCAGCGGGGATTGGCCGTTGAAGACCAGAGATCGGCTCCATCGGGTAGGACGAGCCTGATTCCAGATATATCTCGGTTGCGGCCTTGCTGAGGGGCTGCATCACGGGATGCTCGCAGAATGGGGGTTGCGCTGTGCATAACGAAGTTACCATGTATCTGAGGGTGAGTTCCAGTCGATTGGAACAGGAAAAAAAAAAAAACTGGTTGCAGCAGCCCGTCGAGTCGAACCTGGTCCACGACGTACAAAACACTGATCGCAGCTGCAGGTGCTTCGGAAGCCGATGCCTCATTGGTCGTGTCGCAGGCCCCTCGTGCCGACAAATGTGACAGTCACTTGTAAGTTATAACAGGCAGATAATCTTGATGTGGCCCTCGTGCTGCTTCTGCGCGCTATCCGATCAGATAGGCTGATGCCTGACGGTGCTAGGAAACCATGATCCTCATGTGATCAAGATGCTATATGACCACGGAAGCCCGGCCGGGCACCTAGCTATCTTCAGATCCGCGATGAAAGCCCGAGCCTAGCCTCCAAGGGGGGGGGGAAGGGCGAGGCGGGGAGTTCGGATCAGCGTGACGGAGGAGGTTTGTTAGGCTGCCTGTGAAGCCGCTTAAAATCAAAAGTTTTGATATTTCGGAAAGGAGAAGGAACGAGGGAAGGGTGGCGGCATCATCCAAGCGGCGTTAGGTCGTCAAGATAGTCTGCAATGCTAGCTGGAACCGACCGATATTTCCAAGGATTTGCCTGATGTGCCAATGAAGATGCTGGTCGACAATCCGCCACAATAGCACACGCTCTGGATGAGAACCACATTAGGTAGCGAGCCCCAGCCTTGGCCAGGCATTATTGCAGCCATGATATACCCAAGACACCGACCGATCCGATCTGAGATGGGTCTGTGTTCACAGCGGTGGTGTTGTGCAGTCCGGTGTTCTGCGTTCTGCGTTCTGCGTTCTGCAGCTTCAGCCGCAAGGCCCTTTCCGCAGAGAGAATCCCGCACATTTCATGCACGCCCACAGCAGCATAACGCCGATGCCATATAGGCCGCCAACCTGCCCAATGCGGTGAGGTGGGCTGCGTTGGATGGTGGGCCGGATGTTGGTGGTCACCTCTCCGCCACTGCGGAACCGAATCAAATCGCAGTGTTTTGAAACACGCGTCCCGCCGGCGGACGAAGGCATGGATACCCTCCTCTAGCGTCAACGTGAGTCCTCCGAGGCCGACGCAACGACGTCTCAGAGCGTTGGTCCGCGGGCTACGGCGGTTGCGCGGCGAGGAGGGAGAGGCCAGTGGGATTCCATTTGCCGAATTTCACCGCCGAGACGATTGGATTCCTGAATGTGTTGTGTAAGACATGCGCAACCCCGTTGCTTTTTCCCTCAGGAGCGCCATTCGTTCAGGCACAAAGCACGACACCAGCCACCCATCGTGTCTCGCCGCGTCAGGGATACAGGGCATTTTTCCGATCATTTCGTTCTCGACCGAAGAGGGGAGCAGGAAGAGGAAAAAGAAAACATATGGCTTGGCCTGAAGACCAGTTTTCGATAAAGTTTATGACTTGGCACCGTGTGGTTAATCTCTGAGGGCAGATCCGATAACCACATGCCACGGCCCCCCTCGTCCTCGTGAACCAGCCAACCAACCGCGGTTCGTCAAGGTCCACAGGTACTCGGAACTTTGAAGTTGGACAAAAAAGCAGGCATGACACTCGATCACTCGGCGGTGCTGCATCATTGTCCAAAGATGAAACATTATACAACAGTGCATAGTCTGCTTCTCAGCGCTACCAAACCACTGTTTGCTGGGTCTGGCCTGTTTTGCCGTGCGCTTGTGACTGCGGTCCATCTCGTCGTGCCTGCCGGGCAGTGCGGGCTCCTGCGGCGGAGCCACGGTGCTTAGAGCTTGCTGTGGCTGGAAGCAGCCCAGTGCCGTGGAGGTGGAGGGCGCCCGCGCGCCAGGTGTGTGCCGGGCAGGCGTGCTGCCCGAGCCCGCCTGGAGCTGCCTGCGCTCCAGCTGGCCAGGTGCCCACAGTACCGTCAAGGAGAGCGGGGGCACTATGGGAATATCAAAATATGACCCCGGAATTAAGACCCAGCTTTAGCGTCGTTCACACCGTCTCTTTTAAGGGAGCCACGACTGCCAGGATCACGAGAACCGCAGACACTGTTCTTGCGCGCTCTCCTCTTCGTTACGTGCTGCCCCTAGAACAGGCTCGCCGCCCGCACAATTAGGTCGAGCAGTGCCACCGCAGCCCGATGGGCTCAATTGACCCTGATGCCTTGTCAGACAGCTGTCTAGACTCGGCAGCATCTTCAACAACTCGTTGCAAGGGCAGCAGTCATACATACATGGAGCCGTGGGAGTGGCCGCCGCACCATGTTCCCCCGGGCACTAGTTTTATTTCTTTCGAATCCAAGTCCACTCGGCCGCATTGGTCGGTGTGTATTCCGTCGTTCGGATGACTGCTCTTTGCAAGACAACCTTTCTATGACCGCCCGCCCGGCGACGTGGCAGCGAAACCTCGCTCTCTTCCTTTTCCTCCTTCCCCTCTCCTCTTGCTCGTGTGACGATCGTCGCCTATCAAGCTCTTCTCCGTCCCTTCTTCGCCGTCCCAGGCAGGGCAACCCATCTCAATCCGTCTCAATCTCGTTGTCCCGGGCTGTGATTCCCCAGAAGCGAAAGACGCAAACAGCCCCAACAACCCCCCCCTCGTAGCAACATACATTTAACCTGGCTCTCGCTTCCTCACCTGCCCTCTCAATTTCCAGATCTAGCTGCTACTCCCCACCGTCCTCCAGCACCGTACCATTCCGTTCAGCGCCTCGCCATTGCTACTGTGCCGGACCCGAGCTTACGTTGACGTCCTTCGAGTCCCCGGAGTGGCTTCGATTGCCAATCATCGTTTTGTTGTTCCTGCATTAGCAAGGCTCCCTACATATCACCTACATCTCGTGGCTACCGTCACAGCGCCCGTCAAAAATCCCGACTTCTTCAATCGACGACATTGTCATCCGTGCTCGGGTTGGACAGGCCATAGCGGGTGCTTTCTATCACGCTGGTACAGGTATAACCTTGTGCCTGCTGACTCCTCGCGAGCCTCGCTCACCCATCTCACTCAGCGCGCCTGGACCCAGGAGCACGGGAGAGGGTGTAGCCGGGAACGAGTTGACTCACTGGTCCTGCCAGGCGCTGTAATCCAAGCATCCATCCGTTGCTTTTCTTTGCTAGGAACCCGAGTCGGCAGAGCCTCCTCACCCACGCAGGCGCAGAAGTTGACGCCGGATCGCAGCGAGGAGCGCAGGTCATAGGATTCCGGGAAGGAACCCCCAAACAGCCATCCGGCAAAAGCTCTCAAAGTTGAGAGAGTCCGAGTATTAGGTCGCTGCATCAGGCCCAATGCCTGTTCTTCTCATCGAGCGTCGTTCTCATTCCATTCTGAATACTCGGTCGCCTTTCTGAGAATCGGCTCCTAGGCAGAAGCCGACACAGCCAGATTACCACACCCTCCTCCTCGAGAAACTCGCGGATTGAAGCTGTGAGAAAAGGAGTTGCCTAGCTGCCTTGAGCTGCCTCTGGCCGCCTATTTTTCTGGTGACGCATCGAGCACTGTCTAGACTCTGGCTAGATTCGAGACGCACAGTATTTGCGGTGTTTCTCAGCCTTGAGGCAACTGAAAACCAGTTTCCGAGGGCCTTATTGGTGGGGTGTCACTGGCATCGATTAGTTCCAGCGGCTTGGGAAGGATCATTTTGCCTTGGTGTGCACAGCCTTGTATGGGCGTTCTTACCTGGCCAACCATTCGCGACCTGACTTTCAGGGGCGGCAAGAAGGAGAGGCAGCCACCACCACTTTACCTGCACCCTTCTTTCGACGGAGACAACTACCCGACCCCAGAGGCTCTTGTTGTCCACGGGAGGGCATCAATACGACTAGGACGCCGTCCAGCCCAATTCGGACATCAAAAACATTTTGCTTGACAACTCGGAAATCCAACACCGACTCAGCCTGTGGCGACATCTTCGACTGAAAATTGGCTCGCCAGTCAACAACTTTCGACATTCACCGGCGTTGCTTTCACCACTGCCATGACAAACCCCCACGACGCAGACATGGCGTCCCAGCCTTCGGGACCGGCCCTTGCCAGTCTCCACTACGCATATCCCACGGCCATCTTTGCTTATTACATTACCTCCTCGACCATTGCGGTGTGTACCCTGCAGACCAGGTCCTCCGAGCAAAGCCATGGCCGCCGGCGGGTTATCATTTGGCTACTTCTGTTCAGCATCCTCACCTACCTCGCCCAGCTCCTCGTTTTGCTCGTCCAAGCTATTATTCAGCACACCTTCCCATCTGAACAAGACACCATCATTGGCCTTCTCTCCTCCATCTTGGTATTCGGGGTCGA